ATCTTTTTCTTTAATATATTTTTATTGATTTCAGAAAGGAAGGGAGAGGGAGAGATAGAAACATCAATGATGAGAGAGAATCACTCATTGACTGGCTGCCTCCTGCATGCCCCACACTGGGGATTGAGCCTGCAACCTAGGCATGTGCCCCTGGCCGGAATCGAACCTGGGACCCCTCAGTCCACAGGCTGATACTGTATCCACTGAGCCAAACTGGCTAGGGCTAGGATATTTTTGTTTAGAAACAAGCTGCTCTCCCCACGCCCACCCCTTCTCAATATGGCAGGGAGAGCTCATGTATGGGATAATCTGCCCATGAGCTCTGTAAATTCTGCGTCGCAAATGGGAGCTTTGTTCATCTGGATGGGCTCAGTGACCAGAGAATCTACATCTAAACTCTGTTCAGCATTACTCTTTGCATTTTCAAGCATGTGCAGCAAAAATTCAGCACTCTTTTTGGGCCACTGACCCCGAATCCAGCTCCATTGTTTGGTCTAGGTACACCTACCACCTCTACATGGTAACAGTGAGACAGCACACATCGCTTCTGTAATGTGACTTCCTTCAGATACTTGGTGTCTTTCAGATATGGATACCCTTGATGGTCGGGGCAGTTTCATGAGTGTTCTTAAAGTGAACATAAAGACTTGCATTTCTTGATTTGCGTGATTTTGTGTGGTTTTCTGGGTCAAGTGAATAAGGAGCCATTTTCCAGGATCACCTCTGGCTACTTTCTGGAAGAGCTGAAAGATTCTTATCATGGCATATATGACTCTTCATAATCCAGCCTCAACTTTTCCAACTGCTCTTCTTATTACCTTGGCACGAGACGCTGGCAATATTGTGCCTCTGTGGCTCCTCAAACATTCCATTCTGTTTCATAACCCAGTGCGTTAGCCTAAACTGTCCCCTATACCTTAAATGTCTTTGCTCCTTTGTTCATCAAGTAAAGTTTTATCACTTCCTAATTATTATGCATGGAAATGTTAAGAATTACTTGTTCATTAGCAATGAGGCAGGTAAATCATCTGAATGATGTGAGTTTATTAGATGGATAGTCCATCTGTAAAAGTGAAATAATGCAAGAGATGACAGGTAAGAAACTATTTGCTTCAGCTCTCACGATCTGAACATAATCCAGAAAATTTCCTCTCATTATTACCAGAAATTTTCCTCTCATTATTACCAAAATGCAAAAAGTACTGACAAAAGAGGATTCTGAAGGAAATTTATCCTCTACCCATTCGCTCCTAGGCTTAAAAGGAATAGACACCTCGCCCTGCCGGTGTTGCTCAGTGGTTGAGAGTCAACCTATGAATCAGGAGGTTGCAGTTAGATTCGGGTCAGAGCACATGCCTGGGGCTGCAGGCTAGATCCCCAATAAGGGGTGTGTGGAAGGCAGCCGATCAATGATTCTCTCTCATCATTGGTCTTTGTATCTCTCTCTCTCCCTTTCCCTTTCTATCTGAAATCAATAATTTTTTTTTTTTTTTTTAAAGGACTAGAAACCTCTTACATATTAAGCCAGATGAGAAGGCTGTGCCAGGCTGACCCCTGCTGGAGCCAAGAAACCACTGCACTCCAGGAATGTGGGTACAAAATTTTCTCCCTTCATACTACTCATTCATTATTTATTCATTCAAAAACAGTGAACATTCATCTGTACTACTGGGAATACTGAGGCCCTGGGGCAGAGAGAACAAAGGACTTAATTCCTATTCTTAAGAATCCACAATCTAATGCATGAGATAGGCAGCTGCCTCCTTAAATGTTCTCTTGACAGCGTTGAGGAGAATGAGAGATGAGTTAGAAGGCCAATGAAGTACTCCAGGATTTAATGTGTTAGGGATTCAAGGACAATCAGTTATGTGAGAGGGGGACCAAGGTCTCGGACTTCCAGGTTTCTGACCTGGGAAACTGGCTGGTTATGGGTGGTAGTTCCCAGAGTCAGGGAATCTAGGAAGTTTATGTAGGAAGACAAAATTAGCTTTAGACATATTAAAATTGAGGTGATGCCCTGGCTGGTGTGGCTAAGTTGGCTGGAGCATTAGGCCCACCAGAAGGATCCAGGTTTGATTCTGGATCAGGACACATACGTAGGTTGTGGGTTTGATCCCCGGTCTGGTAAGGAGTGGAAAGGCAGGCAATTGTTCTCTCTCACATCAATGTTTTCCTCTCTCTCCCTTCCTCGCTTTCTGAAATCAATACCCATAATGATAAAATCAGTAAGATTGGGGGAACAAAGATTGAAGTAACTGAGGGACACCAGGTAGAAATGACCAATAGGCTGTTGGGTATATAGATCTGGAATCAGGAAAGACATATAGGGCAGAGTTTTTGAGAGCCCTCCAATAGTTGATAGGGGACTCAACCAGAATAGATGAGATACTTAAGAGTATGCATATTGGGGAAGACTTGAGCTGAGATCTTCAGCAGGCTAGGGTTCTTTCACTTGTGCTTTAAAGCTATAGCTATGACTTCTAGGAAGTCTCTCCCCAATACTCCCTCATCTACAAGAAACCAGTTGCTTCTTCGCTTGCTGAGCATCCTATAATCACTTCAATCATGGCACTTAGTGTATCCTATTGCCTCTGCCAACATTCTCATCTATCCACTAGACTGTAGGCTAAGCATGTCAAACTCGAAGGCTAACATCAGCCAAATAAACGAGGCATGCAGCCTGCAGGCCACGAGTTTGATATGCTTGCTGTAGACCTTTGAAAGAGGGATTGTGTTTTGTGAGGAAAAAAAATGAACATAGGCAGCAGTAATATTATGTAGAGTCTTATGACCATGGAATTTGCTAAGGAATTTGATGCAGGCACATTAAAGATTTAAGTAGTAGCCGAAACCGATTTGGCTCAGTGGATAGAGCGTTGGTCTGTGGACTGAAAGGTCCCAGGTTGGACTGATTCGGTCAAGGGCATGTACATTGGTTGCGGGCACATCCCCAGTAGGGCGTGTGCAAGAGGCAGCTGATGGATGTTTCTCATCGATGTTTCTAGCTCTCTATCCCTCTCCCTTCCTCTCTGTAAAAAATCAATAAAATAATATTTAAATAAAGATTTAAGTAGGGGAGTGGTATGATCAAATTTGTGATTTAGAAATATCACTCTGGCCCTGGCTGGTTTGGCTCAGTGGATAGAGCACTGGCCTGCAGACTGAAAGGTCCCAGGTTCGATTTTGGTCAGGGGCACAAGCCTGGGCTGAGGGCTCAATCCCCACTAGGGGGTGTGTAGGAGGAGGCAGCCAATCAATGATTCTCTCATTATTGATGTTTCTCTTCTCCCTTCCTCTCTCTGATATCAATAAAACATATTAAAAAAATATCACTCTGACTGCAGTGTGGACACTGAATTAAAGCAGACGGAAAGCCCCCACACTGGCTGGTGTGACTCAGTGGGCCTCAAGGGCAAGTGCCTGGGTTGTAGGCCCAGAGGTCTGTGGAGGCAACCAATCCATGTGTTTCTCTCTCCACCTCCTTCCCTTCCACTCTTAAAAAAAAAAAAAAAAAAAAAAAAAAAATCTTCGGGTGAGGATTAACAAAAACACACACAAACAAAACAGTGATGTTTTTGGTTAACTTGGGAAAAACAAATGAGTTAAACCCTCCATTCCTAGTTCTGAAAATACAAAACCAACATTTACAGTATTTATGTATTTAATATTAATTAAAACAACTGCTGCCTACCCACTGGCTGCTACTTGTCAAGTGGTATTCTAAGCTGTTCTCTCATTTAATTTTCCCTAAGGTCTGTTAGCCAGATGCTTTGTTGTTGTTGTACAGCACAATGAGTTTTAATGTCTCCCCTTTGGGGGAGAGGAGGTAAAACTACCCACTTTTGTAAGATACTCCAAAATTGGTTTGGCATTTTGGAACAAGAAGGATTTGGTCCAATCTCTCGATGGTTTAGGATAGCAAAAGGCACATTAGGTTGGCTCCACTGTCCTGGGCTGAGGCAGAGGGAGACGGGGAGGTGGTGAGGGGAGGCGGGCAGGGCACAGGGGTGGGCGAAGTCCTCGCGGGCGGGGTAATGGCCCGCGGCAGCCGTCGTCTGCCCAGTCCACCGGCTCGCCGCTCTGGAACCACAGCCGGATCTCCCGCTGGGCCCCCTCCACGGAGGCGTGGATAAGGTTCCTTCTCATGTGGAGGCTGAAGTCTCCTCGGATGGTGCCGGGGCAGCCTCAGCCGGGTCGGTAAGCCCGACCATGGCCCTGGAAGTGCCCACTACGTTGGGGCCTTCCCAGACCAGGGCCACCACGGGCCCCGAGCGCATGTGGCTGAGGAGGACCCGCAGAAGGGCTTCCCCCGATGGGGCCGGGAGAGCTCGGCCGGGACGCTTTCGGGCGCCAGCAGCATCTTCATCCCCACCAGCTTGAAGCCCCGCCTCCCAAAACGCCGGATCACCTCGCCCGCCAGCCGCCGCCGGCCCCGGCGGGCTTCACGGCCACCAGGGTCCGCTCCCGGGCCCAGGAGGGCTCCCCGGAGCTGGGCCGCACCAGCAGGCGGGGCACCCGGGCCCGCGGGCCGCACAGCAGCTCCCTCAGCGCGGCGCGCCCGAAGAGGCCGCTCATGGCGCCCGGGCCGTGGGCGCTGGCTGTGGGTGCTGGCTCTGTCGGCTAGAGATTTTTTCCCCCACAAATGAGAACTCGAGAGTTCGGAGAAGTGTTTTGTCTAAAGCCATACAGCGGGGCCGGGTTCGAACCCAATTATTGTCTAATTCTAAAACCACTTGTAACCATCTTGCTTCATCATCTCTCTAACGGTCCTAGTCGGTTAAAACGCGAGCAGCATTCCGTCCCCCGAAAAAAACACACCAATAAACTGTGCCGACCGCCGCTGCCTCACTAAAATGGCGGCTCCCCCACGGGCGCCGGCTCTCTTACGCCATCGCCCTGCGCGACAGGTCTCCCGCGCACCGAGTGCGAGCGAGCGAAGCGGGTGGGCTGAGGGCGGGGTCACAGGTGGGGCCTTGTACCTAGTCCTTCCGGGGCGCAAGATGGCGCTGCCCTTTGCGCGTTCGCCTTGCTTCTGCCGCTGGGGAGCCAAACGATTGGGGGCTGCCGCCGCCGAAGCCCGCAGAGGTAGGGTCGTCTCCTTTCCCCTCAAAACGGTTTCCCATAGCTTTTCCACCCCCCACCTGCGTTGGTGTTGAGATCCCAAACCTAGAACACTCTCTGGGCTCTTTAAAAGGCTAGGGCAATGGTCGGCAAACTGCGGCTCGCGAGCCACATGCGGCTCTTTGGCCCCTTGAATGTGGCTCTTCCACAAAATACCACGTGCAGGCGCCCACGTACAGTGCGATTGAAACTTCGTGGGCCATGCGCAGAAGTCGATTTTCAGCTCTCAAATTTCAGTCTTTGTACTGTTGATATTGGGTCCTGTTGATATTGGGTCCTGTTGACTAATGAATTTGCCGACCACTGACCTAAGGCTTTGACAGCCGGAGCTTTTTGGCTCCTTGGGCTGCCTGTATAAAGCACCCCGCTTCCTTGCCTGAGCGATTTGCTGACTCTTCCCCGCTTCTTGGCGACCCCATGACAGCCTGCTTCTCTTTGTCTCTGTCTCTATCTCCCCTGTCATCATCCAGTGTCTTTGCTCTGCCCGCAGGCGTCAGTTTCAAACTGGAAGAGAAAACCGCCCACAGCAGCCTGGCGCTCTTCAAAGGTGACACAGGTGTCAAATATGGCATGGTGGGATTGGAGCCCACCCAGTTGGCCCTGAATGTGGAGCGTTTCCGGGAGTGGGCCGTGGTGCTGGCAGACACGGCGGTCACCAGTGGCAGGCACTACTGGGAGGTGACTGTGAAGCGCTCGCAGCAGTTCCGGGTAGGCGTGGCGGATGTGGACATTTCTCGGGATAGCTGCATCGGTGTCGATGGCCGTTCCTGGGCGTTCGCCTATGCCCAGCGCAAGTGGCACTCCATGTTGGCCAACGAGAAAGCCCCTATTGAGGGCATCGGGGATCCAGAGAAGGTGGGGCTGCTGCTGGAGTATGAGGCCCAGAAGCTGAGCTTGGTGGATGTGAGCCGGGTTGCTGTGGTCCACACGCTACAGACAGATTTCCAGGGTCCAGTGGTACCTGCCTTTGCCCTTTGGGATGGAGAATTGCTGACTCATTCAGGGCTTGAGGTGCCTAAGGGCCTCTAGTGTGTCCATCACTGGAGTTCCCAATCACACCCTTGCCAGTGTCCTTCTCCCAGTGTCTGGAACCTTTTAACTTTGCCTCAAGTAACCTCTGGCTCCCACAGTTCAGGTCCTCTGTCAATGTCTTAGTCATTTCCCTCCCACCTACCTGTGAAAGCTAGGCTACTGCCAATTTTCCTAGGCTACTGTGAATGTGTTTTCCTTGACTTGCTTCATTGGGCCCCTCCATCTTCCTGGGCCCAGGCCTTTCTCAAACTGTATTCAGTCCTGGGTCTTTCCTTTCAGCTTTGTTTGGATTTACTCATCACTGTTATACCTTTCTTTTTCTTTTTAAAAAATATTTTTTTTATTGATTTTCCACAGAGAGGAAGGGAGAGGGATAGAGAGCTAGAAATGTCGATGAGAGAGAAACATCAACCAGCTGCCTCCTGCACACCCCCTACCGGGGATATGCCTGCAACCAATGTGCATGCCCTTGATCGGAATCGAACCTGGGACTTTTCAGTCTGCAGACCGATGCTTTATCCACTGAGCCAAACCGGTTTCGGCTCACTATGATACCTTTCTCTCCCTCTTCTCATGTGTAACTTGTGTTTGTTCTTGGTGTTCTACTGAGTCTCTCCACAGTAAAGCCTTTCTACCTCTGGCTGGAGGAGTGGTTCAGTGACTTGGCCCTTTCTCTAAAGCTCAGAGAGTCTGAGCTCTGGCTCCCTCGGGAAATGCTTTACTGTCTGTCAGAGTGAGAAGAGAGCCCCCCTTCCTCAGTACCTCAAAGCTGGCCTCTCAGCCCCACATACCTGCAGCTATCACCACCAGAAGTCCATCTGCCTTAACCTGCATACCTCTGACACCTGCACAATCCCTTGTACCCATGGGCCAGTTACAACCACTACCAAAGGGAAAGAGACACTCGGGGGATATTAAGGGCATTCGTGCTGGAAACTTTATTCTTGAGAAATTCAGTCTTCATTTCTGCTCCAGTTGGAACTTCCAGAGGAGGAGAGACCTGAGGTCTTGCACAATACATTTTTGGGCCTGCTCAGATCCAAACCCTCATCCTCCCACCGCAGCCTTGGCAGCAGAATACACTTAACCTAAAGCAGTATTAGGGGCTGAAGAAAACCTGGTGGGATGAGCATGTATGTGAAATATATATTTCTCTGTTTGACCCTGTGGCTCCATCTTACTCTTTCTTTATGATGGTGATGCAACTGAATACCTCCTGGGGAGGAAGAGGACTGGGTTTAGCAAAAATAATCATTTGTGTAATTAAAGTTTATTTAAACACAAAATACTTTCTCTGTCTATAAAATGTCTGTTTCCTTGCCAAGAGGGACAGATCTCTCCAAACAACCGAAACCAGGTGCATAGCTCTGTGGGTATATACATGTGCATGGTGGCTAGAGCCCCTTCACCCAAGTGTGTGTCTCTTTCTCTCTCAGGGTGGTTTCTTCAGGGAGAGGAAGAGGGGACCTGGATGAAGACCTGGGAAGATTCTGAGTGGGCGAGGCAATTAGGCTGTACCTTGAAGAAGCCCACAGTCTCCGTGGATAGCTCTTCGGCAGTATCCACCTAGGCACTTCTCTATTCGCTGCCAAGGGAAATGGGGTATTTTGACTCTCACAGAAAGCACTGGCCTGTCCTGGTCTGCACTGAAGGAGTGCAGCTCTCTCTAGCATGTTTGGTGGCGATGGGTTAAATGTGTGGCCAGTTCGTGCTTTTTCTTGAGCAGGGCCCATGTGTGCTCCATCTCACACCATGCTCTCTAAGTTCTCTTTAGACAGAGCCTCAGCTGCTACTTCAGCCTGGTTCTCATAGGGTGTGTAGGAGTCCTGGTAATCTTGAAGCAGTTTCACCACCTCCAGGTGATTGAACTGTACAGCATCGTCCAGGGGAATGTTGCCCCACCTGACAGGAACAAAGAAGATAGAGAAAGTGCCCTGGTTCTATACAGAACCGTGGCTACCCGCGCCCCCTTTTAGCTTAATCCTACTCACCTGTCCTTGACAAAAGGATTCACTTTGCAAGCCTCGATCAGAAATTTCACAACTTCAATGTGTCCTAGGAATATGGGCAGAAGGGAAAGGAGGGGGTACAGATCCTGAACCTTTTGGCGACAACAATGGTGCAGACCCTTGGCAGCTGGAGTTCTGAACCAATGAGGGAGGGGAAAAGGCCTCTTCCCATTTTGTTCCCTGCAGTTCCTAATCACAGTCAGCCTGCAAACTGAAGGGTGTCTGGACAAAACAAGTGACTGCTCCTGTCACCTTGAGGGCGTACCCAATGGCGGGGAGGGTTCTCTTGGTAGAAAAGGAAGGGTCTTCCAATCTACTTCCCCTCTTATTTAACCTTCAGATACCTTCAGCTGCAGCAACATGCAGGGCTGTGCGGGAGTCATAGTCTTTCTGTTCCATGTCCATGGCTGACAAGGCAAACCTGAGGGTAGAGGAAAGCAGCTGGAGTAACCCTTATCAGCTCAGAATCACTCACGCCCTTTCTGAAGTGGGGTCAGACTGGCTAGGTTCCAGAGCTTATGCCAAAATCGTAGGCCTCGCACAGTGTGTTCTCTACCCAGACGAGACTGTTAGTCCCACATCGGAGAAATGGGAGTATGATGGTTCCAGAAACATTATTGCTTATCTGTGGTAGCCACCCAGTACATATTTGCCGATGTTGTAATCCATTTAAGGCAGGGTCCTTACCTACCACCTCCGCTCTTCACACCCAGGTTAATCATAACAGTGGCTACTGTTAAGGTCTTATTACATATAGGCACTGTACTTTAAAAAATGTTCATTTAAGTGCACTCTATGTCCATTGTATCTGACTCTAAAGCTGAAGCACTGAACTATTTTGCTATGATAACTCCTTATGAGATCCTATTGTGTTTATTTGTCACAGAAGTACCTTCGAAGGGCTGAGACATCTCCACTATAGGCAGCAAATAACAGGTTTACCACCGTCTTGTTCTGGAAAACAGTTCATACCCACTTAAGATTAACTATGACTCTGAGCCCACCCATGCCCAGCTCTGCCCCACTCTGAAATATTCTTAGACTTACCCTAACTTCTCCCCCTTCACGCCGTGGGTCTAACTTTCGAGCACAGTGTCTCAGGTTGTCATAGTTGTGGAAATTGAAGAGAGACACCAACTTCTAAAATTGTAAGCCAGAGAGATTATTTACTTACTCTTTGCTGTTAAGTAGGAGCTAAAAATTGCGTTAGTTGCTCATTCAAGATATTTGGTATTATGTGCAAAGTAACTCACCTGGCAGAAACTGATGCCCCTGTGGCTGTTCCCCAGCTTGTCCAGTGGCGGTGAGAGACACATCATCCCCATGACATTGGGTACCACCAGAAGGATGGCTCCTGACACAGCTGACTTGGCTGGCAGGCCCACCTTGAGGACAAAGTTGAAACTGAGGATGAGCTAGAGGTGTCCCAAGTCTCGGTTAATTGTTTATCCCAAATGACTATGTGGGCAAGGCCACACCCATCTCACCCCTTTTGGCTTGTTAATTAGCTTTTCCTACTCCTGTCCTCCCCTACCCCCCTTTAATCCATGGCTTCAGTAAGGACATATTTATTTGGTATCTACTCCGTGACTGAGGCTAGAACTAGGACAAAACCTCTCGTTCTGATGACAGGAGATAGACAATAAATAGGTAGACAAATAGACAAAAATAATCACAGCTTATGGTAATACAGAAGAAAAGAAGCAGGGTGATGGGATAGAGAAGGAGGTGGGAGAGGCACCACCTGAGGATAAAAGTGGTCAGAAAAGCCTCTCTCTGGAGACGACATCTAATCTGAGATCTAGAGAAGCACCAGCCATGTGAAGGGCCACAGAAGATTGCCACAACATGATGTGTTTATGTGTTTGGCAAGCCCCTGAGGATTCTCAGCCTAATCGCCTGGCTGGAAGTTAGTGAATGGGAGGCAGGTACAAGCTTCCACTTCTCCACCCACCTTCAGAGAGTCAGTGTTCTCTCTTCCTGGCTATGGGCTTGTGCAAATGGATGGGAGGGCCAGAAACACTCACGTGGAAGGCAAATTGGCCCGAGAAGTCATACATGCCGCAGGAGTGCATGAGGCTGAGGGTGTTGCGTACAGCTTCAGCGCTCAGTACGCTCTCTCCTGTGATGGGACAGATCCCACCATTGGCCAGGGTAGCTGCCATGACACTGCCTGACTCACAGGTCACCTCCACGGAGCACAGCTGTGGAGACAAGGCAGAGGGGAGGGCGTGGTGTGGACCTGAACACTCTTGGTTGTAGAGCAACGCTCTTGGCATCCTGATCCTTCCACACGTCCTCCTGGTGTTTCTGGAGAAGCATCCCTTAGGGTCAGAGCAAGAAGTACAGCCTGCCCTGCTCCCTTGACCCTGAGTTGAGGGCAGTTTTGTTTACCTGGAAGTAGAGATCTAGCGCAGCCATCATGTCCACCCCCTTAGGAAAGCACTGCAAGGAAGAAGAGGGCAGAACGTTTCTCTTCAGGCCATCAGTAGTCTTTTTCACATGGCCAGGACCTCAGCCCAAGTTCCCCACCTGAACTGCCCTTCCCCCAGTCCCCCAGAATTCCCAGGGACTCTCCCAATTACCTTCCTCTCCCAATTACCTTCTTTTCCTTTAGATAATAGCCGATGGCATAATTCCGATCCCCCGTTTCCTTCTCCGACTGGAATCTGAAGCAAACACTCAATTTAGAACTTGATGTTTGAGGGGTGGGTGTGAGGAGAAGGGGAAAAAGTACTTCCCTGAGAGACAGAACTACATTGCACATGTTAAATTAAGTCAACCCCTTTATACATTCCCAGTAACACTGGGGAATTCCTGGACTTCAACAAGTACCGGGCGGAGCTTCATTATGAAGTGTAAAAGACAAAACACCCCAAATTGTTTAGCTATCTAGTCTAGAAAAACTGTTGAAGGTTTTGGCTATGAGAGGCTTGGCAAGAAATCCTCACATCACCTCACTCGTTAAGTACTAAATAGAAACAGAGCAAATTCTTTTATAAAGTAAACAAACACCAATGCAGGGGCTCAGAGGGAGCTGGGGGGCCAAAGTTCCCTTGGAATTTCTTCCTCCTACGGTTCTATCCTCTCTCTCCCTCTCTCTTTCTCTCTCTCTCTCATACATACACACACACACACACACACACACACACACGCACACACACAATGTATTCAGCCAATCCTGTGAAAAAGGTCTTACGTGGCATTGCTGAAACCCACAAATTCATTCCCAGCCATTTTGTTCAGATATTGCAACACCTAGAAGAGAAAAAGAGGCACGGGAGGCACCACATGAGTGAGGACCCCTACTAACTCCCTGAACCCCCAGTTCCTTTCCCAGCAAGAGCTTCAGGTGCCTTTCTTCTCTGAGGCCAGCAGATCCCCACGGCCCTGGAAATAGGCTTCTAGTATGGGCTGTGCACTGTCTAAGCCAGGCACTGGGGCAGCTGGAGAGGACAACATGCCACGGAGAAAAGCAGCCAGGGGAAACTTACAAAATCAAACTTCTCTGCTTTATTACAGTCCATCTGCAGAGAGAGAGAGAGAGAGAGAGAGAGAGAGAGGGAGATCGATCGATCAGTATTCCAAGCCTAGGAGGCTGACAGAAGAGGATCAGAAGGACCCAGTTAAAATGTTAGACTGGTTTGCTACTGGGAATGTGTTACAGTTTACAATCAACTTTTTTTTCTTTTTCTTTATTGTATATTAATCTTTTTATTAAAAAAAAATCCCACACCAATAAACAGTTAAGACTTTTTTGTATCCATGTATATTTAGTGACCATAAAAACAAAATCATTTATATTTTTTATCAAGTAATGAATACAAATAACCTCACCCCGTCTATGAGCCTCACTCCTCCCGGAGTCTCACTCCCACGTCCATCCTCAATTCTAACCCTCATCACAGACTCCCACTTTCATTTTCCTGGTTCCAATCCTGTCCCCAAGCCCCACCCCTTTTCCCGATCCCATCCTCATTCCTTATAGCCCATGCTGGATCCTTACTCTATTCTTTCCCAGACTCCCATAACAGTCTCCAAGACTGGAGTAACAGGAATGGGATGAGGGTGTGTGTTACATATATTATACTATTCAAGTTTATCAATTATGTTGGTAATTGAAATAAAAGCTAAAGATTTTAGCTGAAAATCAAGTTCAATAGGGTCTGCTTAGATGGGAACGGAATGAGGCAGGCCCCAGATACAGAGCTATAGACAGAGCTGTCCTGGAGCATCTGCCCAGCTCTCTGGGGAGCCTGGTCTCCTCCCACCCGCATTACTTCCTGCACATGTCAACGACAGTGTCAACACCACAGGAACTCCGACACCTATGTCCCTGGAGGAAGGGCTCCTAACACCACCTTCCCCAGGAGGGGCTGTGATTGGCTCCAGAGCATTGCTGCCCACATTACTCTCAGGTTGTTACTCAAGCCCTGGGAGACCTACAGCTGACAGGCGAGCCTGACACCTTTGTTCAAGGCCAACTCATAGTTCCAGGTGACGTGAATAGCTACCCTGGCCTGGCCATTCACCCTTCCTTCTGTGTGTCCCTCACCCAGAAGTGGCCAATCAGCACCTGACAGTGTTGTCCTCCCCCTGTGTCTGGCAGTTGGCCCCTGGTTCTAGGTAGGGGTCAGGACCTGCACACTTCTCTAAGGGCCAGGAAGCTCTGGGTTCCTGACTCGTGCGTGGGGGCAGGGGTAAAGTTCCTTTTTACTAACATCCTCCTATGTGCCCTCACTGCCTCCTGGGGATCCTCAAAGGAATCAAAGCCCCACCAATCTCCCTGGAGTGCGGGACAGATAGGAGGGACATAGGAACAGGGGTTTTAGAGAAGGCTAGGGTGGCACTGACCTTGATCAGGGAGCTCACAACAATGGCGCCAGCATTGACCATGGGGTTATGGGGGATTCCTGAGGAAATACAAACCACCCAGTGTTTTTATCAGCCACTGAGAAAACAAACCTCATTTACAGCCTGCCACTCTGCAGGCTAAACTCTGAGGGGAGGATGGAATGACAGAGCAAATCAGGAAGGGCGGAGAAATAAACACAAAAGGGTGAAGTGTGGATAAGAGGGGAGCATTTATGAGTCTGGTCTGAGCCCTGGCAGTGCTCACCTTCCTCATTGAGGGAGAGCTTGTTGTAGCGCAGGCCACTGGGCTCCTTGCCCACAAACTTGTGCACGTAGTCAGTGCCCAGGGTGCTAACGGAGATGGCGTAGGTGAGGGGCTTGACACAGGACTGAAGGCAGAAGGGGTTCTTCGTGTGGCCCACAGAGTGCCTGGAGGCAGACAGCTGCCATGAGAGGTCGGCCCATGTTCTGCACCCGGGCCCTGCTTCCCCTTCCCCCACCCAGCATCTCACCGCTGACCATCCACAGTACACAGGGAGACGCCCCACAGGTCTGGATTTGACTTGGCCAGCTGAGGGATGTAGGCTGCCACCTGGTCATGAGTAGGTAGAGAAAATGGACAGAATGGAGATATGGAAGTGAGGAAGGGGAACAGAGCTGCTGAGGTTCAGGGTCAGGAGAACCTTTTTGATAAAGGCTAAAATTCTATTTTCTCTAGGACAACAGAGTTTTCTCCTGCCTGTGGTTTTCAGAGACACCCAAGGCTTAAGTCCTAGAAGACCTTATCATTCTGTAGCTCCACTCCTACAGAGAAGGCAGTCAAGTCCATGGAAGGTAAATAGAAGAGTATTCTGAGATCAGCTTCCCTTTTCGGTTCTTAGGCTCAATTATCCTATAAGTCTCTTTCAAAGTTCGGTTGAGTCCTTATGCCAAATGTCCCCACAAAAACTTCAAATCCCCTCACTTGCTTTAGAAATTACATGTATAGAGATACATAAAGCCCTTGTCTCCATTTTCAGAAGTTCTGCTTCTCACCCCTCATCCACTGGATTCCCAGCCCCAGGAAATCTCTGAGAAGCAAGGTATATCTGGCCCAGAGCCCTTGCCCCTCCCTTAGTCCCCTGGCCCTCACTTTGCCTCCAGTGAACTCTCCGGCATCCTCAAAGATGCGATCCACATGGCCCGTGAACTCCTCAAAATCAGGAATGACAAACTTCTTTCGGAATGCCTGGGTCAGGAGCACAATGTTGCTGCTCACACACCTGGATTCCAGACGTGAGTGGGTTAGGGAGCTGGAGAGATGCAGCTGTGACTCACTCTGGAGCCATGGAAATTTGGAATAAAGGTGTGAGTGGTCATCAGGTTTGGGACCCATACTGTGTGACCTTTGGCACGTCACATTGTCTTTCTGGGTCTTGAGTTTCTTTGCCTCTAAAATGAGGGGTTGGAATAATGTGGAAAGAGAGCCCAAGAAAAATAAGTACTCAAATAAAATGCATACTAGGTCATCTTTATATTTTAAAAGTCCTAAATAAGCATGTTTACATATATTCTTATATGTATGTAAATGCATAGGGCATTATCTAAAAGATACTGATCTGTTAATAATGTTTACTTCTGGGAAATGGAACTGAGATTGGGGAGACAGGGAAAGGAGAAAATGTATTTCTATATTGTTTGAACTCTTATACTGAGTATGTGCTACTCATGTGTAACTTGTGTAATAAGTAATAAAATAAAATGAGAGGCTGAACTTTCCAATCCCTGAGATCCCTCCCTGCTGTTATAATCTATTTCCAAGAACAATTGAGAGCGGTGCCCTTGTTCCTGGGGCCCTCACTTTTGGAAGAGATCTCGGTCCAAGAGGCCACCACTGCTGGACTCTCGAACCATGCGGCGCATCTGGCTCATGCAGTCCCGGAGCCGGGGATCTGACGTCTGCAGTCCAGTAGCCTTCAGTGCCTTTTGGGTAAAGAAGAAGCTAATAAGATCAGCCACACCGACAGTAATACAATCCTACTATTCTTTCTCAATGGAGAACAATTAGCTTAACCCCAACTACTACATTTGGTGTAACAAATGGGTTTGCAAACTAAGAAGAAGAAATAGAACAGCTTTGAAGGCTAATGGGAGTTTCCTACCCCTTTTCATTAAGGCAGCTGGTTTCTGAACTCCTTGGATCAAAGTCCCAAACCAAGAAGATGAGCTGAGTCAGAGGACTTCACGTCCCATCCTGGGGCAGGGATGGGATGGTTTCATCAGCCTCGGTGTCTACTATTCTTCATCCTCATGAAGCAACCCATTATTAGCTGCCTTGTCCTTACCCTACCGTTTTCCCCACTTTGAAGAGATCCCCAGGGCTCTGGCCAGATAATTCAGTTGGTTAGAGTGTCATCCCGATACGCCAAGGTTGTGGGTTGGATTCCCGGTCAGGTCACATACAAGAATCAACCAATGAATGCTTAAATAAGTGGAACAACAAAGTCAATGTTTCTCTCTTTCCCTTCCTTTCTATAAAATCAATAAGAGACCCAAAGGGATTAGGGTTCTGAGCAGGTAGAGAAACTTACAGTAGTGAACTTGTGGATAGGGATTCGTTCCTGTCCCTCAGCAATGGTGTAGAAGAGCAGATCACCCAAGCGGGACAGCATGCCACTCTCGGACGAATCACTGGGGGCAGAGAGGAGAGGGCAGGAACCTGAGAACTGATCCTTGCTCCTCCTGGACATGGGCTTATAAGTAGTAGGTATCTTCATTCTAGGCCTCCTCCCAGAGCTATCTGGTCTATTCCCATAATGTCAGCTTTCACATCTATCCTGAGAAGTCTTAAATTTTATTCATAAGCTTTTTGTTGTGTTGTTCCTGGCCTTTAGACTTTTATTTCTAGCTGCCTTATAGTCGTTTCCATTTCTAGATGTTCCACAGATACCACAAATGTAACATATCCAGACCTGAGGTAACTTCACCTCCTCCCCTCTGCTCCTCTTGTATTTCCATCTGGGTTTATAGTGTTACCACTCCTCCAGTTGCCAAGCTGGGAACATGGAGCCATTTGGATAATTCCCATACCTTGCAGCCATGTTCAGTTGGTAAACAATGTTGGATGAATTTACCTCCATAATGTCTCAAATTGACCCTTTTTTCTTCTCTTCCCTTGTGACAGCATGGTATAGTAGAAAGAAGTAGAATTTGCACCTTAACAGTTGTATGATCTTAATATAGATAGTAAGGTTATTTAATACTGCTGAACTGGCTTCCTCATCTATAAAATAAGGGTAGTAATGTCTGCTTTACATGGGTGATGTGAGGCTTCATTAAAATAACATTCCATACATTCCAAAAACTGTCTTTCACGAAGCAGATGCTTGGTACATCATGCTTCCTTATCACCAACTCCTAACAGTACTATACTCTTCTTGACTTATAACCCATCTTCCACAATGCATCAGTCATCTTTCTAAAATGCAAATGTCATTTTACTTCCGAAAACCTTTGATAGCTCCCTATTGCCTACAAAATAAGTTATTATTTCTTGGTATGGCATTGAAGGCTCTTTAGAACCTGCCAACATTCCTTTTCAATTCTTCACAGTGCCCCTCACTCCAGTTATACCAGGTGGCTCCCAAATGGGCCATGTGTTGTCAGGCTTCCTGGCTTTTGCTTATGGTAAAACTTCTGCATGGAATAACCTCTTTATCCTTCATGTTGCACAGTCCTGCTCATCCTTCAGGGTCCAAACCAAATGTTACTAACTTTTTAAAGGCTTCCCTAACTTCCAGATGCTGCTATACAGCTGGTATGACACATCATCTTATCGACACAAGAATTTCTCTTGTTCACTATTAGGTCTTTGTGTTTTATGTATTTTTGTCTTCCTAGTATTGAGCAAAGTCCCTAGCACACAGTGGGTCTTCAAAAAGAATTACCTAGTTACACTTATAGGAAGTTCTCTGTTCCCCAAATTATCTCTCTAGCTGGCTTATAACACTCCAGATTCCAGGTACTGAAGATTTCTTGGTCTTCAAGAATTCTCCTATTAATATGTTAACAGATTTAGAGGAATTATTAAGATCCTTAAAAACCCTCGGAACCAACAATTTAACTTCCAGGTATTTATCCTGTAGATGTACTCACATACCTACAAAGTAACATATTCACTGCATTGTTGGTGATAGATAATACTGAAACAACCTATATGTGTATCAACAGGAAACTGGATTGGTAAACTATAGTGTATCAATATCATGGACTATTGTACAGTGTTAAAAAAAAAAAAAAAAAAAAAAAAAGCCCTGGCCAGGAAGCTCAGTTGTCCTGATACACCAAGGTTGCAGGTTTGATCCCAGCTCAGGTCACATACAAGAACCAATCGGTGAATGCATAAATAAGTGAAACAACAAATTGATGTCTTTCTCTCTCTACTACTTCTCTAAAATCAATAAAAAGTTAATGAGGACATACATAAATATTGATTTAATATTAACTAAAGGAAGAAAGCTATAAAACATTATTTTTAGTATGGTACTACTTATGTTTAAAAGGGAAAAGCATATAGATTTGCTTTTTCAGGCACAAAATATTTCTAGAAAACTGATTTATCTCTCCCTATGGAGATGAAGCAGGTGCTGGCAAAAGGGGTGGGAGGGATATTTCCCACTATCTTTTTGTAAATTTTGAATTGTTAACTATATGAATATGCATGTTATCTATTGAATATGAATATATTCTGTTGAAACAATGTGTTAAAAATAAAACAATATATTAATAATCAAGAGGTTTGGCATAGACTGGCATGTGTGTATGTGTATTTTGTTCTAGGAGAAATACTAAGAGAGGGGGAAGTTGTTCTGTTTCTGAGGAAATCCAATTGCCACAATAAGCGTGGTGCCTATAGGGAAGTGAGGATTCATGTGATGGCAGAGGAAGGGAGGAGAAAGATATCTTAGGAATAACTCAAGAAGAGAAATACACAGGAACACTTTGAGGGCAGGTCTTTCTGCCCAAAGCTGAAGGAAGACAGGAAATAATGCCATCCTACTGAATGTCTCAAGCCTTAAATAAGGCTTGCCCTGATTGGTGTTGCTCAGTGGTTGGAGCACCGGCTTGTGCACTGAAGGATTTCAATTTCCCATTAAGGGCACGTACCTCGGTTTAGGTTTGCTCCCTGCCCCCTGGTCAGTTGGGGCTCATGCAATCCATGTGTCTCTCTCACATAGATGTTTCTCTCTCTCTCCCTCTCCCTCTCCCTCTCTCTCCCTCTCTCCCTCTCTCCCTCTCTCCTCTCTCCCTCCTACTCTCTGAAAGAAACCATGGAAAGAATATCCACAGGTAAGGATTAACAAAACAAAACAAACAAAGTTGCACACCCTTTGACCCAGATATGGATTGATCTAAAACATAATGTTGAGGGGGGGAAGCAAAATGCAGAACAATGTATATAGTATGATACCATTTGCATAAAAAAGGGAAAATAATATTAACATGTATCTGCTGATATGTGCAAAAAATATCTCTAGAAGATTATACAAGATATCAATCTCTGGAGAGCAAACTCTTCTAGCAATTTATTCTAAGAAATAACTGAACAAATGCACAAGAATTTGTAGTAACTAAACTGAAAACTGGTTAAATTATGATACTTCATACAATGGAATTTTAAAATGGCAAAATGGCAGTTATTAAAATAATATATACACACATTCAATGATATTGAAAGCTGTTTCAGTGGAAAAGATAGGATACTACATAATATGAATGCCATGGTCCTATTTCTGTTAAATTTTATATATAGGATATATATGGAGATATATGACAAAATTAATTTGGAACTTAATTTTTGATGCTCTGTCTTGTTTTTCTTTTACAATAAAAATAAAGCTAAATATTAGCCGGGACCGGTTTGGCTCAATGGATAGAGCGTTGGCTTGGGGACTGAAGGGACCCAGGTTCGATTCCGGTCAAGGGCATGTACCCTGGTTGTGGGCACATCCCCAGTAGGGGGTGTGCAAGAGGCAGCTGATCGATGACTCTCTCTCATCGATGTTTCTGACTCTCTATCTCTCTCCCTTCCTCTCTGTGTAAAATCAATAAAATATATTAAAAAAATAAAGCTAAATATTAAAAAATGAACAATAACCTGAATAATAGTATTTTCACTTTACTCCTCTTTGCCCCCCAACACAAGAACCCCTCCCCCTCATGGTGTCATATTCCCAGATCTCATCCCCCTGCAGTGCTCTCAGCTTCTTCTGCCCGAGGGAGCATCAGTCCAAGGCCATTAGCAAGAAGTTCCTGGGAGCACAGGCAGCCATAGGCAGTCGGACCAAGCTTTCTAAAAACACCCGTATCCACCTGACTCAACTGGATAAGGAAAGGGTGCAGGGGACCAGGGACACTTCTCGCTCCCCAATCCCACAAAAAGTGTGAGGGTGAAGGAGGCTAAGCCTTGGCTCTATCCCACCATCATTTCTCCCATGGCAATTATTTGGGAAAAGTTGAATGGGAGAGTTAGATCAGGAGAGGGCTTATTCTTTAAAGTTGAAATGTTCCATGCCTCCTCGAGAAGAGGCAGATGGAAAAGTACAGCATAATAATTAATAATAAACACATACACAACACCATATTGGTCAGAACAGGGGTTTCAGGGGTGGTGAGGTAGGGCTGTGTGTCTGGCTACTGTAACTACGTGTGCAGATCTTCTGAAAGTCATCAGTAGATGTCAATGACGGGGAGAGGGTCAATTTCCTGTTCCTGCTGTAATAGAGCAGGGGCTACTTGGACAGTGTCTATACTCACTGCTGGAGGCAGTATTTCCTGTTCTGCCTCTGTCTGTGTCAGCCACCAAGTGTTCCTGGGTATTGGGGGTGAGGGCAGAATAAGAGGCCCAAGAGAAAGAGAGAGAGAGAGAGAGAGAGAGAGAGAGAGAGAGAGAGAGAGAGAGAGAGAGAGCGAGCGCGAGCGCGCACCCTATAGATTAGTAAGCCTGAGAAGCACAAATAACAGATCTGATGGGCTCTAGTTTCAGAAATCTGCGTTTTATGCCTCTCCCCCCCCCCCCCCGCACCCCGCCACTATTATAAAGATTTTCCCCATTCAACCACCAATTGGAAAAACAGCCTTATTCACAGATTAGGGAGCCCTGGTCACACACACCCGACACTTACGCAAACGACACACGCACGTACTTGCGCACCAATAATACAAGCGCATCACATGTTATACCCCGAGAACACGCCGGAACACAGACACCCCACACCGACAGACCCCGCACCGGCAAGACCCCGCACCGGCAAGACCCCGCACCGGCAGACCCCGCACCGGCAGACCCCGCACCGACAGACCCCAGTCCAGCAGGACTCGAGCGGGGAGGCTGTCGCGTACCCACGCACCCCCTAAAAGACACACGGGAAGGAGAGGGAGGGTGAGGCCGGGTGGTGCGCACTCAGCCCCGCACTCAGACACGTGCACCGGGAAACACTGCGCGCATCCAGGCTCCCGTTAGGTACGCACCTGGGACAGGCGCCATCCCGAGGACCGACCTGACCAAACGCTCTCCCGGGCGGGCGGCATTTTACCGCCCGAGCGCGGCGGACCCAGAACCCCAACTCTACAGGAAAAGGCATCGCAGGCCAGTGAGCGGAGAAGAGAGGAGAGAGAAGCCGAGACGCGCTCCCGAGGAGCGGGGCTTGGGAGCTAGTGAGCGGGAGCCTGTGCCCTACCCGTCGCGCAAGCCTTACTGATCCGGGCGCTGCGGCTGGTGGCTGGGCGGCGTCTCCCTGCCCCGCGCCGCGGCCTCACCGAGGTGGTGCCGGACGCCCCCGCGCAGGAGGGGGCTCCGGCTCAGGTGACCCCAGTCTCCCCTCCAGCAGTGACTGCCGGCCCTGCTCAGCGCATGCTGCAGCGCCTTCATGGAGCGCATCCCCCCGGCACGTCGCCCGTTCCGGCGGAGCGCCCGGGCGTCGGGACCGCGGCTGGAAGGAGGGGCGGAGGAATCGGGGACGAGGCGCGGCGGGGGGGAGCTCGGTGATGGAGTGTGCGGCCCGGGAGGTGTCGGGGAGTTGGGGCCCGGTGGGTGGGATTGTCACAGGAGGAGGCGCCTGTCCCTATAAGGCTCGGTCAGGTGCACCCAACTGGCCCCCGCCGGGCAGGGGATGGGTAAGAGGATCCCGGGCGAGGGAAGAAAACGGGCGGAGGGCGCCTCGGGGCGTGGGAGAAGGGGGCGGCGCCTGAGGGCTGAGATGGACACGGCCGAGGCTCAATCACGGAGGAAGCAGAAAGCTTTGGGGAGGGGCTAAGAGGATCTTACCCAATCAGTGCAAAGGGGCGGGCCTCCGAAAGCTTGCGGACTCCGGTGCGCTGCCGCCGCTCCCCCGGCTCGCAGGCGGCGCGTGCGCACGCCGAGGGCAGGAAAAGCGTGGCGGGGCCGCGGCGACGCCCGGGAGCGCGGCTCCCCGCGAGGACACGGCGGCGGGGTCGGGAGGACGGCATGCTCAGGGACAGAGGCGGGTGGCGCCTCTCCGCACTCGAATAAGAGCGAGCCCTGCTCTGGAGGCCACTTGGTGGCCTAGACTTTCGAAGGCCAGAATGGCCCGCGGCGGCCCTCGAGGTGCCGGCCAGGAGGCCAAACAAATACGAATCTCCGCCAAGTGGTACTGGTGAGCGAGGAGTCAAACGGCCAGAGAATACCCGACCAGAAACACCTCACAGGGTACTTGAATGGGGTCCCGACGCCGTGGAAAGCTCACCGTGGTGCTGGCTAAGGTGCTCGGGTTTTCCGTATCCATATCCATTATTTGGTGGCTGTTTAGGAATTGGGTATTCTTAACTCTGAGCCCTTAAACGTTTTGTTTATTTTTAATTTTTTTTTTTATTTCTTACGAAGAGGAAGGGAGAGGGAGAGAAACATCAATGTTGAGAGGAGTCATTGATCCCCAGTCACCGCCTACTGGGGATCCAGCAGCAACCCAGGTACATGCCCTTGACAATGGAATCTGGGACCCTTCGGCTCGCAGGCAGACTCTCTATCCACGGAGCCAAACCGACTCGGGCAGCCCTTAAACATTTTATAAACCGCAAAGTACCGGTTATTTAAATTGCTTGCCCCTTATGTTCCTCAGGGGCCAAAAAGAAGTGACGCACAAAAAGAATTCTCAAAGTTCAGCACATTTAGAAATTTTGCCATTTGCAGCTAGAAGAACATTCACCTGTATCTTCACAAAGCTTAACACAGCATCTCTAGTAGGAACTCAGTGTAAATAAGAGTTACCATCGAGTATTAATGGTGTGCCCACTTTTATATAATTCATCTCATTCTCTTACCAGAAACCTACAAAGTAGTTATTCTATTTTGGAGATGAGAAAATGAAGGCTCAGACTTGAATAAGATAACCCAGCTAATCAGTCCCACGTCTCTGACGACAACGCTGTCTTCATGACGCAGCTTTTACCAAAATTAGCTGTTAGATTGAATTATCCCAGGAAATGACCACATCCCTAAAGGAAGCATTTTATGTGGAAGCATTATGATACAGTGCTGAGAGCAGTCTAGAGGCTGGCTGTATCACTTTTCATTTTGGGAATAAAAATCAAGGGTAAGGATGGGGAAATAAATATCAAAGCCACACTCGGGTGTATTCTGTGGGAAGGCAGTTCTCCTTTGCCTTGGTTAGGGTTGGGAGTTTATTTGGTTTGAAACCATTTGAAGTGACCTTTCTTTGTGTTTGTTTATTTGTCTCCTCTGTAGTCATTTCCCATCTATTCTCCGATGGGCATGGCTCTCATTCAGGAATTCCAGCTTGCCCTAAGCTGGTTCATGCATGGTGTTCCCCATTAAGTAATTTAAGAAAGTTCTGGGTCCTACTACTTTGTATAAACGCACGCCAGCATTAGTTTTTCCAAATGTAACAAGCTAATCTCACCCTTGTTTCATAAGAATGTTACTTCTCGGAAGCCTTTTGAACTGTCAAGGGAAAGATACCATATCTTAGGGGATTTCTAAACATTAACCAGAAGTTATTTGCTTTCTTTTATTTCCTACTCCCGCTTTTTTTGAATTAGCCTTAATTATAACCAGTAATTAGTTCCTCACTCTTTTTCCTCTCCAGTTCTCTCCAATAATGGGCACTGGTCGGGCGGTGAAGAAAACCTTCCCCGTAGAAGGGGAGGTTGTTTGCTTAAAGACCTAGGCCCCAGCTGAACTTTGGCCTTTGAACCTATTCTTCTTTTACTACAATATTGCTGCTTTTGCATGAGGATGGAACATAAACCAGTGACTTGGGAGGCCCAAAGCATAGTGTGAAGTATAAGATATTCAAGAAGAACAAGTTTGTCACCCCAGGTGGTTAAGCGTGGCAGTGTTCGGTTCTTTTTTGGATTTCTGATTGAAAAGGGCCCATCTAATTAAATCTGTGCAAAAGTATTATGACATGGCCAGCTATAAACGAGGCTTTTAAAAAAATATATATATTTTATTGATGTTTTACAGTGAGGAAGAGAGAGGGATAGAGAGTTAGAAACATCGATGAGAGAGAATCATCGATCAGCTGCCTCTTGCACACCCCCTACTGGGGATGTGCCGGCAACCAAGGTACATGCCCTTGACCGGAATCGAACCCGGGACCTTTCAGTCCACAGGCCGATGCTCTATCCACTGAGCCAAACCAGTTTCGGCTATAAACGAGGCTTTTCATAAGTGAAAGAAAACTCTTTCATGTACCTCTGATAAGTTTTAGGTCAGTTCCTGGCTATGACAGAATTTTGTGGAATATGGGGAGAATTGGTTTTTATGATTTTGAATTCTTAAATCAGAAAAGCTAAACCCTCTGTGGTACAACATTGGGAACTTGGTGTTTGTGTTCAGAGAATATTTATTTGTTATGACTTATTAGAGGCTCATTTGCTCAATTACTACAGGTGAAGGATTATTAACCTAAGTTACTTTTTTTCATTATTTTTGTTCTGCTAATGTTACTATTGGTGTACATTCCTTTCTGTCTTAGTTTCTCCATTTGTAAAGATAATCTGTTTTTCTGGATAAAATATAAGTACTGAGAGCTCTAACATAATCATCTGCCATTCATTCAGTGGATATTTTTCATTGGCTTATAGTGTGCCAGACCCAGAAATGAAAAGTAAAAACAGTTTCTGACTGCCTAGTAAGGGTCACTCAGTGGTTGAGCATCGACCCATGAACCAAAAGGTCACCAGTTTGATTCCTGGTCAGGGCACATGCCCAGGTTGCAGGCTCCATCCCCCTAGGGCCGTGGTCAGCAAACTGCGGCTCGTGAGCCACATGCGGCTCTTTGGCTCCTTGAGTGTGGCTCGTCACAAAATACCACGGCCTGGGTGAGTTTATTTTGAAGAAGTAGCGTGAGAAGAAGTTTAAGTTTAAAAAATTTGGCCCTCAAAAGAAATTTCAATAGTTGTACTGTTGATATTTGGCTCTGTTGACTAATAAGTTTGCTGACCACTGCCCTAGGGGCATGCAGTAGGCAGCCGATCTCGCATTGATGTTTCTATCTCTTTCTCCCTCTCCCTCTTTCTCTAAAATTAATAAAAACATTAAAAAAAAATATCAATAGCAAAATAAAAATTAAAAAAACAGAGTCTGACTATTGGAAGAAATTAGAAAGTCAGTGTTTAAAATTCATAATGAGCCAGGTAGCTCAGTTGGTTAGAATATTGTCCCAATATGTCAAGATTATGGGTTTGGAGGAGAATCCAAGATGGCTGCAAAGGTAAACACCTAGCCACAGCCGCACACAACAATTTCAATAAAATACAACTAAAATATAAAATGGACATTACCCAGAACTACAGGAAAGTTGACTGGCTGGAAATTCTACAATGAGAAGCAAGGAAAAAACCAGAAGGAAGAGTGGAGGAGCTGTAAAAGCCTAAGGTACGGAGACATGCAGCGTGCGCGGAGAGGATGGAGCCGGAGAGGAGGGGAGGCTGAGTGCCTGGCTGGCGTTCCCTAGTGGGAAGGAGACAAAAGCTCTGACTGTGCTGAACCACAGACACGACAGTGCTGAACCCCAGTTCTAGGCCAGAACCTGGGGACCCAGGCTCATACAGAGGGAGCCAGGGCTGTGAGGCGGAAACCCAGGGGAGCAGTGAAAGGCAGACCCGAAGGCGCGTACATTGCACGCAGAGGATGGACTGTTGACTCTGCTGCCAGATTGCCCTGGCGGGAAGGAGACAGGGGCTCCAGACTGCTCTGAATGCCACCTCCAACCCCACTTCCAACTGAACTGAACCCCAGTTCTGGGCTCATTGGGGGAGAGCCTAGACTGTTTGGTAGCAGGCGAAAATTGAGGGCACCTTTCTCTCAGAGGTGCTTGCAGTGAGTACTGAAGGACCCTGGGGATTACTGAGACTCAAGAACCGCATAGGGCGGGGTTGACGGAAGCCAAACCTGTAGGCTTCACCCTGAAACTCCGCCCCAGGGAAGCTGGGAAAATGCCAAGACAACGAAATAAATCACAAACGAAAGAAATGGAGGACAAAAAGCGACTGGATATAGAGTTCAAAACCACACTTATAAGCTTGTTCAAGAATCTCCTAGAAAAGGCCGATAAAATAAATGAGACCTATGAGGATATGAAAAGGGATCAACTAGAAATAATAAGGGATCAATAAGAAATAATAAGGGATCAACAAGAAACAAAGAATACATTGTCTGAAATAAAAAAGTATTATACAGAATCCTAAAAACAGAATGGAAGAACACAAGAATCAAGTCAAAGACTTGGAACATAAAGAGCCGGAAGACACTTCTCCGCAGAAGCAAGAAGGCAAGAGAATCCAGAAAATTGAAGATAATGTAAGAAACCTCTGGGACAACTTCAAGCGAACCAACATCAGAATTATGGGGGTCCCAGAAGATGAGAGAGAGCAAGATATCGAAAACATACTGAA